CGAGGATATGACTCAATACAACACGTACCGTGGCAGTGTCAAATAGTGAATGTAGGCGAAGCCGGATTATTATACAGCAGTCCATTTTACCGTTTAAGTGTTTGAAACCGAAATGAATTTTAATGATCATTTATCCAGCGTGTCGAATACAGCGAATTTTTACAATTTTCTGGAAAAACGCATCACTAGTCTAACAAACATTATTATGAAGAGAGGAAACGAACATTTCTCGTTAATTATCACTCGAGTTTTGCACGCAAAATAGCATGCCAATGCTTTCAAGCTACGGAGATGTTGAATTACATGAGCAAATATGAAATGTAATAATTGCATCTGTAATCGAATTGCGTACATGACCTTTGTAGACATAGATTGCGGTTCCTTTACGGTAGAAAGTTTGACTCAGAACTGAGAGGAGGTCTTGGGATGTATTTCGAATCCGGTCACTCACTTTCTTGCCTCCGATATTGGTAAGTGGGTACCATTTGTGGCAAAAAGCAGGAAATTACATGCTCCTGTGACGTATATGTTATCATTCTACTGTGACGCAAATACATAGCCAGAAAAATGTTTCGTTCATTGTATTGGCAAATTATCTCGATTTTTGGAAGTCCGTCTGTGCTCATTTGACTCTGTAAGCAAGTCCATCGGCGAGGAGTTGTTACGTTGAATCGATTTACCCGTAGGTCTTGTGGTGGTTTATCTAAGCAGCTTTGCTACATGCGTCTGACCAACAGCTGCTAATGTGTTTTTCAGCCGAAAAGAATATCGAATAATACCACAGTCCTATCTCCAGCCATTGAAGTTAACTTTTAATAAGTATTAATGGCAAGCGAGATTATCGTCTTGTGGTCCAGAGAAAGGCTGGAAGAAATACAGGCTTTCAGGAAATCCACAAAAGGCTGTCGAAGGAAACAGTCATGCATAATGAATACGTTAATTTTTTGCTTGGCTGAAAGCGATTTTGCGAACGACATAGCTTATGTATGACCTTTCAATAACACTCTAGGTATTCTTTTGGTACCGGTAGGAGCGCAGAATCAGAACGAACTGGTTTCTGTTTCGGATCCCACTCGAGTCAGTAGTTTTTCTTCCTTCTGAGATTGATAAACAAGTATCACTTTGAGGGAAGGAGACAGGAAACTATGCGCTATAGTGATAACCTAGCTGTAGTCGTAGCGTTAAAAAGAGGAAGAAGAAAACAACACTCCTGGCTATTGATCCGAAGAAGAAGGTTGGCGCCCCATGAAATGAAGGGTATCAAAAATGGAGCGAAAGTGAATTGTGACTCGGACATCCATCGTTTCCTAACTTTTTCCTAATGATATTGTAAATTAAGAAGCTGATGAAAAGTTTCCCGCTTTAAGTAAGATGTGGTTTTCTTTGCACTACTGAATATAGTATTCGTTTGTACATCGAGGAAAATATGTCTCAACAATTTGTCGTTTTTTGAGTGAAACGGAAAAAAGGAGAACGAACTCTCTGCAAGGTATCAATAATTCTGAATGCAGAAAAACTTCCTGAAACTACGAATCTTCGCATCCCAAAACCTTCGCAGCTGTGAATTCTTAATCTAAGAAGCAGCGGTTGTACACCGAGAGGTCGATCTCTTACTAATATTTTCCATCACCAGTAAGTACGAATCCGAGGTACTTGAATTTTTTCACCTGCTCCACTGCTTTTCCGTTAATCTGAAGACAGCAACAGGTAGGCGAACAACAAAGCATTAGGCTTTTCTTTTTAGACATGTTCACACGCGTGCCGACTACGTCACATTCTGCTGCGAACCT